TGGTGGGGGCTGGCAGCTGGGGCCGCAGCTGGGTGTGGAGCCGGGGCTGCGGCTGGGGGTGGAATGAGGCTGGGTGGTGCTCCCTCCCCACCCCCTGTGGGGACTGGCCCACAGTTTGGGAACCACCTTGCTACACACAGAGGGAGAAATTTTTGAATGCCAGATACCATTTCCTTCATTAAAAGATTTTTAGATCAATGATTTTTTTTGTCATTGACTTCAATAGGAATAGGAGAAAGCCCAAAGAGTAAGAAGCACAAATAGGTGAAATTCTAAACAAGAAAGATTCTATTTTCATGCGAATATTCCTTGCCATGAAAAATAAGCCCATCAGCAGAATTTTGTCTAAACAAAATGTTTTAAAAAGATTTTAATTTTAAAAAGCAACAGAACAGTATTTAATTGTATTATGTTCGATATAGCTTACCAATAAAACTATGTTACTGTCAGGGAAAATCTAAAATTCCTATTCAACTGATTTTCATAAGATTCATCTTCAAGGAATGTAATTTAAATCTGAATCAAAGTGATGGCACATTTTAAGCACTTATAAATTGACCATAGCATATTTATAATGATTTTGATGTTGTTCTGAGTTGTCAAATATAATAAATTTATTGAGGATGTCACATATTACTGAGATGCCAAATTCTGCCCTCAGATCTGTATATGCATATTTCTGAAAAACAAAGTTAATACTGAGTTTAAGGGGCTTAAAACCTAAATTATAGATAGTACACTCTCCCTTTCTCCAGCCCCCAAAATCACACATTTGTGATTGTGGGTCCTTCAAAAAAGAGTGTATTTCCACCAAGAGGGGGAGTTTCCAATGTGAGTAAGAATTATTAGTATGCAGTCAGCTGAAAAAACACAGATCTTCAGGCATTTATAAAGCATAAATTACTGTCAGCCCTTAGCTAGACTAACTTGTGTGAAAGCCTGTGTACTGTAGATATGTAACCAATAAGAAAATGGTTGTCTGACTGCATGAGTTTTACACATTTTCTAGCTCCACAGCAGATAACAATGCTAAATCTTGCACTGAAGAGGCATCATGCACGACGCCTCTAAGATCCATAAACCAATGAATGGATTATACTCATCCATGCACGTAGTTTTTCATCTGCAATAGATTACTCTATAATTATATTCTTCATTTTTCTTAACCACTTCAGACTACCATGTGTATGAGAACACAGTTGATTGTAATGTGCACATAATAAACTATGTTACAATTGGATAGATATTGTATAGCTAGGCTGTCTATATTTTGTGTTTCTAATAGTATTATGCCTGTTGGATCTAAATCCGGCTTCCTAATAATTTCTCTAAGCAGCTAGAATGAGGCACAAGGTCAACACAAAAACTTGTTCTTAATAGTTTGCAAATAACTGCCATTTTTTCCTGTAAAAGGGTAGAAAAGAATTTATCTCCATAGGCCTGATCTTGCAAAAATTTAAATACGTGAGTAGTTTCATTAACAGAAAGGGACTGTTAATGAAAGTAAAGTTACTCAAATGTTTAAGTGATTGCAGGACTGTGCTCTATATTAGGAAATAATGACTTTGTAACATGTTAATAAATTATTCACTAGTATATATATTTCCATTTAGTAAATTATATTTATATTACTGTGCACGAGCCATAATATTAATGAAATCAAGAAGATTTATTCTCACTAACGAGCACGCTCAAATGTATGAAAAGTACTTTGAAATATTTTCAAAGAATAAATAGCAAACATGGCACATAAAGCAAATATATACATACAAATCTTTTAGCCTTAGTGTGATAATTGAAATTTACATAAAACATCTATTACTTAAAATCAAGATCAAGGGCAGAATGGACTTTCTGTTGAATACCAAAGTAATATCAAGGATGGTGAAAAATAGATGGATAATGTGACATTATAAAGTGGTAACTTTAGTTCACTCAACAGTATCTACTATTTCAATTATTAGACATGAAAATATACATGTATTGACTTACCCTCATCTTTGCACAGGCATCCTGTGTTGATTCTGTGCCTCTAAGCTCTTTTACCAGCATAGAACCTAAATACTAAAATAAGAACACATTCAATTTTCTGTAGTTAAAATCCAGAGCAAAGTTAAACCTACAAAAGACTGCTAAAAAGCTGAGGAAACCAGAATAGTAGTAGGTAGCCTAAATATTACATGATTTGGATTTTTTTACTATATACTTTTGATATACTGGAATTTCAAATGGAGGTTGTTACTACATATTCTGTATGAAACAGGAACATTTACTAACAAATGAATTTAGAAGGAGAACTTATAAGTGGTACCAGCAAGTAGTCCCTCAAATTAAACAGAAAGCACTACAGAGTGCCATCTTAAAAAATCGCATCTGATTGCAAAATGAAGCATTTACCACTTCTTTTAAAGCAGCCATCTGCAAAAATCACATCACTGTATATAATTATAGGGTTGCAGAAGACAGTAAAGCTAAGCTATGTGCAGCTGATGTGAGCCAATAGATATGCACAGATAGTTAAAATATACTGTTTCTAGGCCTACAGTCAGAGAGTCTCTTTAAAGACTTTAATTCACACCTGTGTGCCACAGATATACCGACCGGAAAAAGGCAAAAATGAACACTCATTTCAGGATAGATAGTAGTGGAGCACAGTACAGTACTGAGGACCAGTACCTGGTGCATTACAACTAAGATAGAAAGGTAAGCAAGCCCAATGCAACTGCATAAATATAGGGTAGCCTAGTTTTATTCAGTTAAGTATTGTAGATTATAAAATAAATTGAAATTGAAGCATTTAAGCTAAACATATGTGATTCTATCTAAGTCTTGGATCAAGTCCCAGCTGGGGCCTGATTCTGCTCCAGTGAAGTGAATGGGGGTTTTGTTATTGACTTCAGTGGAAGCAAGATTGGGCCCTTAGGGAAAAACATTCATATTGGAACAAGCTTTGATCTAAGAACATTTAAACTAAAGCATATAGTCTTAGGGTTTGCTTACACTGAAATTGGTACAGTTGTGTTGTACTGCTTCAGTGTAGACACTTGCTACAGCAATGGGAGGAGTTATCCCATCGCTGTATTTAATCCACCTCTCCGAGAGGCAGTAGCTAGGTTGACGGAAGAATTCTTCCATCGACCTAGCGTTGACTATACTGGGGGTTAGGCTGGTATAGCTATATCTCTCAGGGGCATGGATTTCTCACACCCCGATGTAAGTTTTCAATGTAGACCAGCCCTCAGCTAATGTCTTTCTGTGCTCCCTTTGCTGTTATAGGCCAGCTCAACACCATAAACTTACATCAGTATTGGAAAAATCCACACCCCTGAGCAACGCAGTTATCCTGACCTAACCCCCTGTGTAGACAGAGCTATGTCGATGGGCGGGCTTCTCCAGTTGACATAGCTATCGCTTCTCACAGAGGTGGATTAACTATGTCGGCAGGAGATGCTTTCCCATCTGTGTAGTAGCGTCTATACTGAAGAGCTACAGCTGCACTGGTGCAGCTGTGCAGCTGCAGCATTTTAAGTGTAGACCCACCCATTGTTTATCTACAGTTTGGGCAAGACTGGCCTCCCTGTCTGTACAGGTCCAGGGAGAGGGCACACAGGAGCTGCCCCTCCTCTTTTGCTCCTGTGCAGGGGCAGAGCACAACGTGGTTCTTGTGCTGCTCTGATAGCAAGACACAGGCACAGCCACTTGACATTTCCTCCAAAACTTTCACATGGGCAGACAGGCATGGAAAAAATGTCTCTTTCCTCATCAATTTTGAGCCCGTGGCAGAAGGCAAGGGAAAGAAGGGAAAGCCAGTCCCAGCCCCTGAAGTGCTATTAGACATGCTCAACTCTCCCCACTAGCAACCCTGTGGGGCTAACAGCTACTGAGAAGACTCCTCACACCAGCTGAAGAGCAGAAGTGGCCAGATGCATTTCATAAGGATGAAAATCCAACTTCCTTCTACTGCTTGTGCTCACAGCAAAGGGGATGAAGAGCTCCCGCCCAAAAGAAGGCAGAGGACAAAGCACAGGTGGCCAGGTGTGAAGGAGAAGGAATGCTGCATCCTCTTAGAGAGTGACAACAGCTTGGGCTCCTTGAAGATTTTGTCACAGAGCCTCCTGGAGCTACAGCTAAGGCATTGCACCTTTGTCTACCCCAAATGAGAGCCTGTGCATAAAATAACATTGGTGCCCTATGTGTTTTAATATCCTATCTTCTGACTGATCCTGCAGGGACAAAATTATGATCCTTGGTTTATGCACATTTTCATCTAGTGCCATGGAAATAATGGGCAATGGTTATATTTGATTGACTTGACTGCTAGATCAAAGAGTAAGGTAAGATGAGGTTTGAGAGGAAACGTTTCATTAAACACACATAGCTGTCAATTAGTAAACTTTGTAAGGAAAAATATGAAAAAAAGCTGAAAAGTGAAATGGATTTCATTTTTTTGTCTGATACATGTAGGATATGGGGCCATGAGCCCTTGAAATTTTACCTGCATTTGTAACATCTTTGTAATAGATACATTACTATTTGAAAATTTGAACTTGTGTGCTGTGTGTATAAAAGCGTGTGTTATAAGATTGGGGAATGCGGCATGGTCACAGAAAGTGTGCCATTTGCTTTCATTGTCACTTGGATAGCCCTTGAGCCTTTTTCTGATGGCATCATTTCTCAGTTGCTATGGATGCATGGGCTGTAATACATCAGAGAATCAAAACAAAAAATATTTCTGATGTTTGCTTCTTATTTATTAACTATGGAATTGTTTCAGAGGAAATACCTTGGTCCATTAAAAATATAGAATGACTTCCTGTTACTGGAAAATATTATAAATTAAAAAAACTCAACACTGTCAGCATTTAACATGATCAGAAATACATATATATGCAATCTATGAGAAACCAAAGCACTGATTTTACTAATACTTACAAATGCTTTATAATCACATGACTGGAAGATGAGTTTCTCTGGGTGATGTTGCCAGTACTGTACTGGAGTTGATGCTGTCGCTTCATTAGGCGGTCGTAAAGTAATTGAAGGTTCTCCCCAGTCTCCTGTCTGAAAATCATATTTATTCTAAAAGTAACATAGGTTGCAGGCAAATCTGCTATAAAGTAAGCTCTCTATTGCTGTATCTAATTTACATTTATTGTGTACTTACTATCCCTATGTTATGTAAATAATATAATATATGAACACAACTTGTATAGTACTTTTCATGGTTTAGTTTATAATCCAAGAGTCACCTTCTGTACAGTTCAGTGATGCTTGAACTTAATTTGTTTACTTTTCAAATAAAATAATTAAACACTTGAATTCTTTCAAAAACATGATTAAGTTTGAAAGATATGTATGAAAATGAGAGCTCTTGAAAAGTCGTAAGATACAGAAAAATCCCTCCCATTCATGGAAAAATAATTCTGCTTTGTGTTTTGCAGACTTTTCTACACAGCTAACAAATTTCCTATTACCCCAATTTATGTCATTAATTGATAATATAATATGTATATTTTCCCAAACAATTCAAATAATTCAGACCTTGATATGATTTACATACTTACTGTCTACAAACATATAAGGCTAAAAAGCTAAATATGCTGTTGTAATTAGGGACAATTTCACATATTAGAAAGCAAAAAACGATTCTGAAGAGTAAAATTTTGTGCCAGGACAGTGAGCCACCACCAGCTAATCAAGGACAATTTGTTGCCACCAACAGGCATCAACAATTCACTATGGAATGAGGCAAATTCATAATATGATTATTTTTCAGGTTAACAAAAAATAATTATAAGCAGACCTTTGCTTAATTTACTGTAAATGTTTTGTGTGTATCAATGATCTTTGCTGTGAATAATTCTTACTGTTTTATATCATTTTTAGTTTCTCCCTATTATCCCCAAATTTTAGTCTCCTGAGCTAGGAGCCATGTTTTTCTTTTACTCATTTTTAAATCATTATAGTCTATCTTATGCTTTCCTCTTTAATCTCTCTACCTATACATTTACTTTGATCACCTTTTATTGATGTCTGCCTGTATATTTAACACTATTTCCTTTTCACATTCAGGCTTAACATTTGTATTAATGACTACCTTTCTGTCTCTTTCTGTTACCCTCTTCTGACATTTTTCTCAGGGCCAGATAAGTCTCCAACCCACTCCAGGATAATCAGTGAGATTGTAGTTTTCTCCTAAGTTATTTCATCAGGGTCATTGTTTGCTCCCAGAGGAAAAGGTTGTAGAGGTCCAGTCCAAAAGGCCATCACAAACTTGATGATTCAGACATAGATGTTCCCCATCATGTATAATTCTGGGGCTACGATCGACCTTCAGAAATTCTCTCTTTTTCTGCTACAGATCTCTCTCTCTCTCTCTCTCTCTCTCCGTTTTCCTCTCCTATGTGATTATTTTCTACTTTGATTTGTTCTACAGTTTTCTCTACCACTACATCCACAAAGATATTTACTATCTTTGCAATACTTTTTTTGGTTTGGGTTGGAATTGGCAACAAATTGTTGGCAGTTAATTAACATGTAATTTAAGCTATTAATAGAAAAATGGAATTGGGTTAAGATTCCTTTTTTAAAAGGTTATCAAAACACTTAATTGATGTAAAAACATATGGAAATATTCTAATCAAAGAGCAATTTAAAAGTCTAGCAAACCATCACCTTATCAATTAAACCAGGACAGAGTAAACAAAACAAGGACGGTACATCCATTTTCATGTGTCACACAGTAGTGAAAGGACAGAAACTTGCACAACTTTGCAATGAAAAGCAAGAGGTAAATCTGGAAACATCAATATTACCCTGCCAATGTGATAACTTAAAGCAAGTGTACACATCATAAAACAAGTAGAAGCCACTTAACGCCAAGATTATTCCTCTCATCCACAGATGGTACAGTACAGTAATTCACAATCTGCCTATTTAATGTTGCTTAGATACTCCAAAAATAGGGACCTTATAAGTACCTAGTCAGATATATGGAATGTCCCTCTGCAGAAGTTAGTGGTATAGACTGCATAGCTGCAACATTCACATTTTGGAAGGAAAGCAGTGTTGCCACTGTTCCAGTTATGGCATATTGCAATATGTTCAGAGAATATTCACCGTCTTTTACAGAAATGCTGATTCAATATGATTAAAAAGAAAGGGCAGGGATTTGGAGCCTGATTTTTCTCTCTCTGAATTCAATGGGGGATTTACTACCAGCTACAAGGAGAGCAGGATTGAATCCTTCAGGAGAGTTTATGTCATCCCTAATAGTCAATTGTTCAAGGGCCCCTAGATGTCAGAACACTTGAAATCCTCTTGTCTTAAGACTTTTTTTTTTTTGCCAATAGTGGCTTTTAATGAACTAAAGATCTGCTGGACAATTTATAGGAGGAAACTGTTCAGCAGGGGGGCATGCCTCATGCATTTAGCAAGAGGACATTGCCATGGACCAGGCCTGATAAAAGGATGGATGGAGTAAAGAAGCCATAAAGGTAAAGCCTTTGATCCTTGCTTCTTGAACCCTGGCTATTCAAAGGATCTTAATAAGGTAGGAACAGGAGTCCCATAGTAGAGATGACACTGGGTCATGTCTCTAGACCCCCATGCTGCACTGATCCTAAGAGGATTTACTCCCATACACAGAAGACAGATAGCAGTAAGAGATTAAATGAGGAGTAAAATAAGTAAATTAATTTACACTTTGGACTATTTTTGCACAAAAGATATTAAAAGTAAAAGTATTAAAAAAACCTTAATTTTTGTCAGGAACCAATATTTCAGTCTGTAAATGGAGAGCAGTGGCAGGAGAAACAGTGAATCTTGCTAACAGACAGGTCTAATGTATAAAGGAGCTAAGAAGCGACAATCTTGAGGAAATAAGAAATAAGCTTCATCTGAAACAATAAAGATCAAGTATGACACACTTGCAGGGGGACTGTGCAGATACCATTCCTTTGTATTAATCACTCTATTAATAAGTACAATCATCGAAATAAAGACCCTATTCCCTTTCAATTTAGATAAAAAATAATTGATAAAATTACCCTAAAAGTGCTCGGGACTAGAATGGTGGATCTAAATACATAATACAGCTGAGAGAGCTACAGCAACCTGCTGTTACTGACAGACCATTGGAGTTGAAGACCTTTGTGTATTCCAATCAGCATCTTCTTGTAGAGATAGCAACTACTAAGAAATGCGGCAAAAAATTAAACATTGTAAGTGTGGATTATTTTTGATTGATGAAAAAAGAAGGCATGTTACCCACAGAGCCCTGTAATGCTCTTTTGTAACTATATCATGTGTTCTTTAATATTCAGCTGAAGCTATGTTTTCATCTCATTTATTTTTGATTGCCTCCTACCAAGCTCCTTATAATTTTAGACAACGCTATTGTCAATACCCACTATTTCTCCTAAGTCAATAATAACAGTTACTATTTGAAAATACTTAGACTGGAACAAATATGCGTGCCTGTATAAACAGAGCAGTAGCCTTTGTCTATCTTTACTCCATCATCTCCCTCCTGCTTTTCACCTTCACTTGTCCCATCATGTCTAAAGTTAGATTGTAAACTCTTCAGGACAGGGACCATGTCTTTCTATTTATTCTGTGGGGTAACAGGGCAGACTCTAAGACCCTGTGTAGTAATAAAGGGCTTTTCTGTCGAGTCACTAAAATTCTGAACTGAAATTTAGGACAATTATAGCTGAGTCATGTTGGCAGGGGAGTCCTGTTAATTCCATCCAGGCTATAAAGGAGTGGAAGCAGCTCTTTGGGCAAGAGGAGATCCTAAATGGAAACTGTAGGGCTTGAGGAGGAAGCTTAGGCTTAAACGTTTGAGTTACGAATAATGCAAAACCTGAGGGGTGAGTTTGGATACTAACTCATGGTCCATAGATTGGGATTCAGGCCCCTTCACAAGTACCTAATGCATTTTCAGCCACTATAAAAATAATACAATGGTCTCCATTTGTAAGCTAAGACACTGGACCGACCACATTTAATTTAGTTTTTAATAGCACATATGTTCTTATAAATCTTTTGATTTCAGTACTTTTATTTGTAAGACCCAGAGATAACCAAACAACTAAATATTTCATATTACAACACACCATATATGTGGAGGTGATATAGCTGTGATGAATTGGAGACATGTGATAAATGTATTCATCGCATGTCTTTAGTTTGTTACATACCAGAGCAATTTATCACATGCTTGTGGTAGCATCCCATGCCCACTAGTCTGTCTCCTTGGGCCTTATTTTAACATTTCATACCCTCCCCCCCAGCAGCTTCCAACAGCCACTTTGTTGTTTGTCTGTTTTCCCTAAACTACCCTTCTCTTCCTCCCTACAAATATGGATTTTCTCTCACAAAATTACCCCAACCCAAGATCCAGTGGGGCAAGATTCAATCCTTTGTCAGTGATGGATTTTCTAGCCATAAATGTCAAAGCTTTTAAGTCAGGTATCTCATGTTCCTACAGTACTTTATACCACTGGGAATGGGGAGACTTCCAGCTTCCCAGTGGAACACACCATTCTTGCTTCTAGCCCTAGAAAGGACTGATTCATTGGATATTAATTAAGTGACACTGAAAAAGTAGATTATAACTATTAGGGCATTTTTAGAATTGCTGCACATACGCTAGTTTTAATTTTTCCCTCCTGCAGTTTGACTCAAGATAACTAAGGAATCTGACTGCAGAGACAGAGATTTCAGAAGTAATCCCCAAACAATTTTTTATAAACTCTCTAAACCATTCATAATCTCTTTCTAAAATATGGAAGGTACAAAAATTGACACAGAAAAGCTAGAGTAGGCCTGTTTTAGAGGGTTTTGAATTTTGTTTTTTAACTGGGACTATTTGTTGTAACTGTCCACCAGTAAAGCCAGGTGCCTTAGTGCCAGCACCATGCATTAGTTACCAGGACTATAAACAAGAGCACACACAATACAGTGCGTTTAGCTGAAATTTTAAATTTTTTGTCCCTGGAGGAATTTTAAGTGTTCTGTGGGACCAGCCAAAATCCAGTTCAATTTTTTTAATATCCACTATCAGAAGATAGATTTCCTATGGCCACTTCAGAACCTTTCAAATCTTTGTTTTTTGAAACAAAGGTAAATTTTTAAATGATTCGAAAAGTTTCTTGGTATGCCTGAAGAAACTCTGAAACTTTCTAAAGAATGGTAGCTGAGATACCCTCCTATCACAAAGGTCATTCAAGATGGCCGCCATGTCATGTGTATGGGACCTTCATGAGCCTTTTAAAAGTATCATATATGGGGAAAGCGTAAACTATTGACAGAGAGAGTTCTGTATAGCATGTTACAGATAACTTTTTACTATCACTTGAATAGCACAGTTTTTCACATAAATTACACCAATTTGGGGCATTATCAAGGTCACATATAATTCACAAGAAATGGCTTACTGCCACAGCAAAGATGGCATCATCTCAAAGTTCATCAGTTAGGTTATGAGGGATGTAGATCCTACTTATTAACAGGAAGGCTGATGCACAAAACAGGGTGCACAAACTAAGCAATTTACACATTCTTGCTTTTTAAAAAATGAGCAAACAAAAAGTGCTGGAACAGACATCAAATCTACCATTAGGTAAGTTTTAACTTAACTCTAGAACTAAAAATTCCTTCATCTTCCGTCACACAATCAACATAAAACTAATCACACACCATGATAAATGAATGTACACATACATAATCCCACGCGTCAGCAGACAGTACAAATTATTTTGCAATTTCAACATGACACCCATATAAGTACTAACGACACCATGGCAACACATTACACTTCCATACAGTGACAATGTAGCTGTTTATTACAGTATCTTACATTATGAACCTGATGCATCGATGAGAAAGGAAATCCTGCATTCTGGTTGGTCCATATCTCACAGACAGAAGACTGCTAATATAAACAGAAAACTACATCTCATCTTGTAAAATATTAATGCACTACAACCATCAAAAAGCAGGAATAATAAGTATGAAAAGAAAAGGATTGCAACAACAGTTTAAAAATGGCAGCACTTAGAGTCAGTTTTCATTTATTTGCTGACAAAACATTTTTCGGACTTACTTAAAAAATATAGTTTATTTGAGACTTCAGAAGAGATTTCACACTGCGCAGACAATAAAAATAATTTAATCATAAATGCTGGTGAAACCCAGCTCTGTAAATAGAAAATAAATAAATAAATGGGAAAAGTAGAGAGAGGAGGCAAAACGGGTTGCTTTCAGTTTGTTTTTTCCCAGTCAAAAGGCCAGTTGTGTTTTGGTTTTTGAGTCACATTGGGGAGGGAGGGTTCATAGAGATTTTTTTGGGTGGGGGTGAAATCAGGAAAAATTAGTAATAGTGAAATAACTTTAAAATTCCATGTGCACTGTAGCTATTAATAGAGGAAAATGCAAGATAGTAAAGTGAAGTGATCATCCACCATCTCCCTCCAATAGTAATTCCCTTTCATTCAAACATATAGGGACAAATAGTGCCCTCTACTGAATCCCTCTGAAGTTAATCAAATGGGCAGCACTGGTCTCATACTGTCCATCCAATATTTTACAAGAAACCTGCGTTAACAACAGTAAAGTAAGGATCATATTGCAGTAACTGTAGCAAAAGCAACAGAACGATATAGGCATAGCATCTGTCGGCCCCTTTTGCATATTTCCTTAATGGGATGCCATCAAGAAAGCCACTGTGACACTACAAGAAATGCTAAGATAACATTTCATAGTAGCCAAGCAACTAAAATAAGCGCCAGACGTGGGAACTGCCCACAGTATCCTGAGCAGGCAGCAACAAAAGGCACTAAACACATGAGAAATGCAACTGCAGCCTCTAGAATAGCTAGCAATTAATACATCAATAGTTTAACCACAATATACACAGCATAGCTGGCAGCTAAAGACAACATCAAGAATTTAATATCAGTGTCCAAAAAAGTTAGCATTCAAATAGACACAACTGTGCGCAAGAAAGTGACTCTTGCCCTTACCTTTTGCTGTCTGAAATCTGGATGCCTTGAAGGGTGACAGGCTACGTCACCGCTAACATTCTGGTGACTGGCAAAAGCAGATGGCCTTTCTCTGGGCTAACCTGCAAGTCCTCCCAGACTGGCTGGTAGCAAACTAGTATCTTTCACTTGTCTTTATTTCCCTCAAGTTTCCACAGATATTTGTTTAAAATGTAATCTCCCCCCATCAGTATCTTTTAAACCTTTCCATATCACTTTTTGCCTCCCCATTTTGTTTCCCAAAAGTCATATCTCCAGGCCCCGTATCCCACTGGCGACTTTAATAATTTGAGTTCCAGGATCCACAGGACACTACACTTTGATGTCATGAAATATCTAATGAAAACATAGCCTTGACCTTTCCAATTTCCTTCTTGTCCATCCTGATTCTGCTGTCCACCTCAAAACATATCCCCACACCTGAGGACATTGCTTCTGGCCCTCCTATCCTCCTCAGACTCACCCTGCTACTAACTATCCTGAAATACATTTCCCCAGTAGCAGGGCCAGGTGTTAATGTAACCCCAAATACTCTTCTTGCCCACATATTCTTAAACTGTTTCACAGAGTATTCTCTCTGGTCACTTGATTCCTCTTTTTATCTACTCCATATTCTCAGATCTTCTCATGCCTTGTCTTCCATTGAAGAGGCACTCCAGAATGACTTTGTGACTGCCTCCAGTGACACTTCGGTGAAGGAAGGAAACTATGCTTTTGCAAAACTAACTATATTTATAGTGCATTAGTAGTCTACAAAAGTACTTTTTACAGTTAATATTAATTCTCCTAAAGAATTACCTCAGCCCAGCTTTACTCTATGTAATGGAGTACAATCTTCTGTAGAACATATCTCATTTAGCAAGGTGTGAATCAAACTGTTAATTGAGTTCTGATTTGGACAAAATCTGGACAAAATGTCCATAGTGACGAACAGCTTGATCCTGCAAAAACTTACTACCAGGTATGACACTGATTCCTGTGTATAGTCCCAGTGAGCAGTCTACTCACAGTAATCAGCCATACACCCAGTAGTAAATATTTGCAGGATCAGGACTTAAGAGAAATGTTTTTTTTTAAAGTTCTGAAAAGAGGCACTAAAGTGATTTAAAGAGCATTCTATATGACTATTGCAACATCCAGTAGGATGTAGAACTTCTCATAACCCAGTTCTGTGCCTATTGATGTTTCAGTAGATAGAAAATTTAGGCACAGTGGAAATATTAATGTTATAAAGGACAATGGGTTTTATGCAGAAACCAAGATTTTCCTGCCTCTGAAGAAAATAGTATTTAGCATTTACTATATATATCTTCTATGGCTTCAAAGTGCTGAACAAACATTAATCAATGAAGTATTGAATTCCCTGAGAAGCTGCTAAGGAAGTTTGCTTATTTCTATTTTGAATATGGAGAAACTGACCAAAGAAGAGAGATTGAGAGTGACTGTCCAAGGTCACAAACTAGTTAGTAGGAGAGTTGGGATTAGAATTCAGGAGCTACCAGTTCCCAGTCCCCTAGAACATGTTACCTCAAAACAAGAAAAGAACAAAATGTACAGCCTATCTGAACAATAGACAGTGTACACAAACAAAAAAAAAAAACTCGGGCACTTAATACCAGGGACACAGAGCTCTGTGAGAAAAGGTTAACAACTAGCAACATTTTGCAAAGGGATACTGTGAAGGACAGAAAAAATGTCATCAGCTATTCCTAATAAATATTACCAAATGCACAAAGAAATAAATGCAAACTATTAACATTCAAACAAAACAACAAAACATGCATATTCATATGAAATCACATTCCCCCAAAATATATACAGATAGATTATATATACAGGAAGTTCCCCAGATCATTGTCCCATTACAACTTGGGACCCGTTAGAAGAATTGTGTTAAGAAACTTCCATTGCTTCTGTCAACATCGCCTTACTTTCATAAAATATATTCACACAAAGAAAAAAATATTACTAGCTATTTCTTTCCTGTGAACTTCCTCTACTATTTCAGACAGTCAGGCTTAATCCTCTCAGACATCCATTGTTCAGGTAGTGGCCACAGAATGTTTGAGCACTTCACTCTTTCCCAGTTTTCTTTTAATCTACTCTCCTTTTTCCTGCAGTCCAGTATTTCCATAAGTTAAAAAAATGGTAGCCCTGCTCTCTAAAACACGTCTAAAGCTTGTCTGAGAATGTTCCCATAAATCCTGAGACACATCTGCACCGGTGTAACCAAAATACTGGTGCAGAGTGTAAGTGTTCTAAAAAATACTACTTTTATCTGTCACTTAGGTCGTGCTTTTCATTTGTAGATTTGCAAGCACTTCACCAGCCTCATTATCTTCATTTTACAGATGGTGAAACTGAGGCACAGTCCAAGTAAGTGACTTGTCCATCATCCCACACAGGAGTCAATGGCAGAGTCAGGATTAGGATCCAGGTCTCCACATTCCAGGTGCCCTCTCCGCCAGAACTGCAGTACCCAACCAAGTTATGAACAATTCTAACTCAAGCTAACAGGGGAGAACAGGTGGAGAGGCTGCGAAGAGAAAAAGGTTGTACACTTCTCTCCCTTCTTCCTACTTCCCTCATAAATGCAACATATGGAGTTCAAGACAAACAGCCCTTTGCCCCCAGCAAGTAGAGGCTGCATCTAATAAAATACTGAAAGTGAGCTTGTAATATTTTGAGAACTTGGGAAGGATTAATAGGCAACCACCTTATACAATTTCTGCTGTAACTCCATCCCCCTACCCTCAAATAAAATGATAAATGTTGGAATTGAAAAATGCTTTAACCTTGGCTATTAGACAAAGTGGCTGAGGTAATATCTTTTCTGGGACCAACTTCAGGTGATCTGAAGAAGAGCTCTGTGTAAACTCAAAAGCTTGTCTCTCTCATCAACGGAAGTTGGTCCAATAAAAGATATTACCTCACCCAACTTGTCTCTCTAATATCCTGAAACCAACATGGCTACCACAACATTGCATTAACTTTGGCTAGTCGTGAGAGACTGAAGGTCCTGTAGACTTATTAAAAGCAGGATCTAATCTACGCAGCGTAATTACAGACACTACACATCTTGCTGAGCCATGGGAAAAATGAATAATGCTCAGTGCTTGTGATCTACGGGGCATATTCATGTAGCTTGCAGCCTCTTTATTCAGCATCTGTGTGTGTGTGCGGATTGGAGGGTCTCTGTGACTGAAGAGACCAGGGATTGGCAACCTTTGGCATGCGGCTCACCAGGGTAAGCACCCTGGCGGGCCGGGCCTGTTTGTTTATCTGCCGCATCTGCAGGTTCGGCCGATCGCGGCTCCCACTGGCCGCAGTTCACCGCTCCAGGACAATGGGGGCTGCAGGAAGCGACGGCCAGCACATCCCTCGGCCCGTGCCGCTTCCCGCAGCCCCCATTGGCCTGGAGCGGTGAACCGCGGCCAGTGGGAGCCACGATCGGCCAAACCCGCGGACGCGGCAGGTAAACAAACTGGCCCGTCCCGTCAGGGTGCTTACCCTGGCAAGCCGCGTGCCAAAGATTACCGATCCCTGGAACAGACGCTCACAGTGCAATGCAGTGGCTAAGAGAGCAAATGGGATCCTTGGATGCATAAGCAAGGGAATACTGAGTAGGTGTAAGGAGGTGATACTACCCCTGGGCACAGCATTAGTGAGACTATTCCAGGGATACTGATTCCAGTTCTGGTGTCTACATTTTAAAAAAGATTGGTGGCAAGATTGTTTTAGAAAAGAGCTACAAGAATGATTTGTGCCCTGGAAAACCCACCAGCGAGAGGCTATAGAAGCTCAAGCTATTTAGTTTATCCAACAAAAGGTTAACAGGGGACTTGAACACAGTACTACATGGGGAAGAGATTTCCGAAAGCAGAGAGCTCTT